TTAATGTGTGTTTGCGAAACAAATTAAGACAGAAGTTATTAAAATAAGGATACAGCCTTCTGGGAATGAAAAACGGAAAACCTTTTAACTTCTTCTAGAGCATGTCTTAACAAAGACCATGGCAAAAGACAATGAAAGCACAACTGGTATGAGAAGTTAAAAGACAAGTAAATTATTCCAAATATCCTGGCTAATTATTCTAAGAACAGGTGGTACAATGAGAAAATAACTATGACCTGAAGAGTTAGAAAGATGGGAACCCAGGATATCTTTGAAACACAATACTTGTAGTTTATCACATCTAGGTTATTTTGCTTGCCTTCTTGTTTTTGTTTTAGTAGCAGTTGTTAGGGGTGGGTGCTGGGATAGAGGAGTACACATACTACATACTGCCAGCCATCTTTCCTCCTTTCAGTAACCTACCAAAGTCACACAATTATTAAGACTAGAGGCAGAACTGAATCCATTATGTGTCAAATTCCTGAGTCCAGTACTCAAACATTAACCAATACAATACAATGCTCTTTTCAGAAATCCACAAACAGAAAGTCAAATAACAGTACTTAAATGATACACTCTAATCTTCAAGGAATAGCTTAAAATTATTTTTAAATATTCAGAGTCTACCAATAATAACTGACAGCAGAATCTACATAAAAGTGAATCCTAAGTAACTATGAGATAAAAAGTAGTATATTGTATGCAAGTTATGTAACCTTAAGTGAAACTTCAGCTTCTTTTTATGTAAAATGTGCTTCTTTCACCCTCAGAATAGGGAGAAAATAAAGTGATCCTCGATAAACAGTGGACCTATCATTACAACAATTTATTATTAATTCTGAATATCAATACAGCAATGCATGTTTAAATAGTAAAATTACTAAATTTAGGTTCCAGTTCAATATTTTTCAGTGTTATTGAAGAATGAATCAGGAAACATTTCCTCACTATCTTTCTATTCCTCTTATATGAAAGAAAAAAAAATGCTGATTATTACTGGTGATAGCATTTGACTCTTCTGCCTCCTATGTTTGGCTAATAATTCAATTTATTTTTAAGTTTCAATTTAAATCAAAAGGGAAGATTCTGTACAAGGTATCTGGAAACTTACTAAAATCTCCCAAATCTATTATCTCAGCTAAAGCTGCACTGCTCTGAGTAAGACCCAAAGATTGTTATCTACCTATTTACTTTTAAAGATTTATTTATTTTTATTTATTTATGCATATAAATACTGGGGTATAGGCCAGAGGTGCAGGAGGTGAGAGGATTCGCTAGAGACAGAGCAGGAGCAGAACAGGCAAATTGATATAAACTGCTGAGGGGAGCAGTAGGTGAGACAAGAGAAGTCTGCTGTGCTATGTGGGTTAGCTCCCTAGCAGGGAATCAAACTCATTCTGAGTGGCTGGCGACAGTTTGACAGCACTGAGACTTTAACCTCCAGAACATCTGGGAAAGCCCCTGTATCTATCTACTTTGCAAAGATGCAAAGAAACCAATGATAGGAAGAAATACATGCTTTATACATTCCTCTTTATAGAAAAAGAAAGCACAAAATGAAAACTTGGCAAGGAATTCTGGTTTGGCTTTACTAAGAAAAATCAGCAAAATAAAATATATTTAATTAAGGGCAAAGAAATCAAAATGTACAAACCTCCAGGTGTAAAATAAATCAATCCTGGGGATATAATATATAGCATGGTTATCTGCTACAAATAGGACTACTGTATTGTGTATTTTAAAGTTATCAGGAAGATCAGAAAAAAAAATTTTGTGACTTTTAAGATGACAGATGTTCAACTACTGTGATTACTTTGAAATATATGTACAAATATCTAATCATGTTGTAAGCCCTAAACTAATGTCATATGTCAATTATATCTCAATTGAAAAAAATTGTACTATTTATAAGTTGCTAAGAAAGAAAATACTACAAGTTATAAAGAAAAAAATTAGTAACTATGTGGGGTGATGGATAGGGTGATTTGCTACAGTAATCATCTTGCAATACATACACTGTCACATCATTATAATGGAAACACCTTAAACTAATGCAATGTCATGGTCAATAATATCTCAAAAGATCCTGGAAAATTTTTAAAGATGCTTAATTAAAACAGGGGGAAAACCCCCGAAATTGTAATCAACTGAGTAATAAGCCTTTAGAGGTCATCTCAGTTAAAAAAAATAGAAATGACTTTTAACTAGTTAACATTTTTAATACAAGTAATATGGCTGACTAACTAAATCACAAATCAGATCGCTGTCCTTGTACATTTAGCCACTCTCAAGGAATATAGAACTCTCTGTCTATAAACCACCTGGTATAACTTCGTAACTTTGTGATTTCAAAGCACTTGCTTTTCCACTATATATAACAAATGGCAAAATGTATCAGCCACTCTGGTAAGTACTTTTCTTATGCTATTTATCACTTTTTTTTTTTAAAGATTTATTTATTTGTGCATACAGAACTGGGGTACAGGCCAGAGGCTCAGGGGCAGCGAGAGGCTTCACCAGAGACAGAGCAGGGAGCAGAACAGGCAGATCGACAAAGTACACTCCTGAGGGGAGCAGCGGGCGGGTCAGGAGAGGTCTGCCACACCATGTGGTCACCTCTGGGGCAGGAGAGGTCTGCCATGCCATGTGGTCACCTCCGGGGCAGGCGGGAATTGAATTCATGCGGAAGTGGTGTTTAGCTTCTTAGTGCTGCACTTTAACCTGCTGCGCCTTCAGGGAGGGCCCTATTTATCACTTTTATACTCTAAGGAGAGGTAGACTTTGATGCTCAAGGTCATATATGTTATACATGGCAGAGGTTGTAGCATTCTGATCCATGCCAGTCTGGCTCCTGGAGTTCAGAAATTCTAAGCCATCTCTCAAGTAATAGAAAAGTTTTCAGTTTTCCCATTTTTAGGTCCCTTTCTGAATAATACCAAGATAATTAGGATTCATAAAAATTTTAAAACAATCAAAAGTTAAAATGGAAGAAAAGTAAAGGCATCGTAGCCAGTTTTCTACAGTTGGAAAAAATTCATAATCATAATCAATAATACAGAAAAAAAAATCTACTACAAGATCAGTATCAAGAATAAGGTGCCTGTGTTAGCCCAAGCCAGACAGGTTTTTCTTGCTTGTGTGTATACGTATATGTAGGTGTTTTTGCCTATTAAATAACTAAAACAGGTGTTTCTACTCCAACTCCACGAAATCCAAATAAACAAGCAGAGACAAGTATGTGATAAAGACAAGGTTCTTTTAAGTCACACAGGAAAAACAGGGTGAATTTTTAACTTTCCTTATCCCTTGTTCTATCTTGATTCATTGATTTAGTTAATGCAGTTCACTCCACAGCAGAAGTCAAAGTCTAGATTTAATTATAAGAATGTAGCTTATAAATTCATATGAAATTTTCTAAAGGCTTATTAGAAGATAGCTTCATACTTACAAAAGTTAAATAGTCTACACTAAGAGTTTACCAAAACAGTATCAGATTATTGTAGAAATTAAGAATGAAGCTTTTAAACATTTGGGTTTCAATGTGATTTCAAAAATCCTTTTATCTAGATCATTTTAATAAAAGACATTTATTATAAAGTAAATCCTAAATATGAACACCGCAACTTATTCTATATATAAGGAATACTGGTTTTAATTAATAATTACAAATACATATCATAGCAAATTCCCTTAGTGGCAGTCAAATGTTCAAAATAAAATCATGTGGGCCCTCCCTCGTGGTGCAGCGGGTTAAAGCACAGCACTAAGAAGCTAAAGCTACTTCAGCATGAGTTCGATCCTCAGCCCCAGAGGTGACCCACATTGAGTGGCAGACCTCTCCTGACCTGCCCGCTGCTCCCCTCAGCGGTATACTTCGTCAGTTGGCCTGTTCTGCTCCCCACTGTCTCTGGTGAATCCTCTCACTGCCCCTGCATCTCTG